TTTTTTTTTTGGGGGGGGGGGGGACATGAACCTTTGAGCATTTCTTGCATCTAAAGATATTTGTGGAAGTGAAGATGTTGAAGACATAATTTTTTGGTATTTCCTCATTTCTTTTTTTACGGTTATATGAAAATTTAAATTTTTTGTATCTAAGATAATATTTGGATGCCATATAAAATTTAATTCGGGAAGTCAGAATAACTTCTTTCCCCAGAACAACGAAACCACGTTTAAAACATCGCATCATTTTTGGTTTCCTCTTTTGACGTAAAACTGGGATCCTGTCGGACATTTCATCAGGAATCCTTCAAATGTATGTGGCCAGTTGATAGCTGAAGTGTGTTGCCTTCTAGGCTCACATTCCTAAACAGCTGAATACCGATTTCGATTAATTGAGAATGAAATGATTTTAAAAACCGTTAGACTGTGCCAGTGTTTTTCACATTACACCGACAACGTTCCAAGTTCGTTGAAGTCTTAAATTACTACTGATTTACACACAGATTACTGAAGTTTTGAAAAGAGGAGAAAGAATAAAAACAAAAAGTTACTTAACTTTTGACTGCAAGCAGTTATATACTTATCCCCCCTACCAGCTTAGCTAGTATATTGGAACTACATCCTCTTATTGTTGACAATACCAAATTGGAAGTCAATTTTGAAGAGCATTTCATATAAAGCGAATTAACAGTAAGACTTCACAGGAAATTTGCAAGAAACGCTACCATAGCAAAAAACTTCACATTCAATAGCAAACTTAATGTCAAATCAGACAAGTTATAAAAATCAAACGGTATGTTCCAAATCTTCCTAACATGTCACTACCTACTTTGACAAGAGCAATTGAACTTACGTTATACTGAACCTACAAAACTAAGAATTTTATAACCACTCCTCAACTGTTCAAGCAAGAATTAGAACACTTAAATTAGCCTGCGACATTAGAGAAACTGTATTCATTTCCTTGACTGGACTTACATGTTAAAATATGTCGTTCATTTAGTCTTTAACTTATAATCTTTAAATCAGAATTCCAATCTGAGTGTAAACAATTTTAGCTAAAGGAACAAAAAGACAAATGTACCTAATCAGTAATGCGAGGAAAGTTACAACCAGTTATAGCAGTTAAAACAATCACTGAATTAAAACAGCGCATCCAACTTGGGATTTTGTAATAAAATTAATGCTGTTCATAATAAGATAACAAGATAACCTTGAAAAAGAGTCTTGAAATGCACATTTCGAATAATTCTCTCTAAACTTCAAGAGTGCATACCAACTTGAGCAATACATTAATCAAACAATTCACTGACAAATATTCACACCAATGACAAGAACGATGAGTTATATATTAGAATTTAAACATGGAAAAAATTAGTCCAGTTGCTCCATAACCCCTGTCTAAAACTAACTTCAACAACGGTTTAACAATCGTTTTCCAATTAATTAAAGAGTAACTTTCACGTACGGATAGAAACTCGCCATTTCCTTGTACGCATGACTCGTCAGACCTTTTTAATGGTACTTTTCAAGAGATCAAGGAGTTATGATTTTAACTGTGGGCAGTAAAACGGAAAAAAAATAAATTAAAACAAATTTCCATTCTCACTTTACTTCATCTATGCGAGGTTTAAATAATTTCTAAATGGCAGGAGGGAACTGAAAAACATGAAAAGTGACAAATATCAAATCTGCGGAGAAACGGAAGCTAACAACAGAAAAATGTTATTAATTAACAGCTAACAGTTATAAGAAAGTAGAAAGACGTGAATTGGAAAGCTAAAACAATTAGAAGCTAAAAGATGAACCACTAAGCAGAACAAAAACTTTATGCATAAATTCAATCAAACCATGTTTGCTCCTGACAGTGCTGGATTAAATCGTTGAATTTCCAGCCAGATAAGCTCTAAAAAACAAAGAGTTTAAAACAGTGTTCTGGAAATAGAATTAAGTTTAAATAGCAACATTCTTTTTGAATACAAACGGTGAACCGTTTGAAAAAAAATAAATGTAGGAGAAAAGCTGCATCAAAATTTAGAATAGCATTCCAAAAATGAAAAAGTAAACTAAGAAATGTATAAAAACTCACCTTTCCAACGGGGAAGCGTTAAATTATTGTCATTTCCATGTTCTATAACAAAGGGATGATCTGCTACAGGTTCGTCATCTGGCATCGAGTATTTGTGAAGATAAGGGTGAGCAAGACCTTCTTCTACTGTCATTCTAAAAATACACTTCAAAGAATGGAAAGTAAAGATGAATAATTCATAAATTTTTCAAGAACCATTATATGTAACACAACTTCCCAGAATTACTCG